CGTTGAGAGATCCTCAACGCACGCTGTATGGGCGGAGACACAGACGGCTCGAGCATGCGAGTGTGAATGTTCGCGCGAGAGAACGTGTCTAATCGGGCGAAACTGCGCAACGTGGCCGTTGAAAACTGCGCAACGCAGGGTTGACTCTGCTTCCAACTCCTGTGATCCATCGCAGGTTTCGCGAAAATCGCGCAAATCGCGCAAATCGCGAAAATCGCGCAAAGGATCGCGGACTCTGACATCAGCCTACCGTTACCTCTTCCATTCAGCGCTGTGTTTCAGAACTTTTCCGCCATGAAATTCAATTCGCTGCCGCCTCTATGTATCACTTCTTCGCGTTTAGGTGCGTTCGACCTTACAGCCGGAAGGGAAGAAAGATTCAATCAAGGTCAAATGCGCAATAAGTGCCAAAAAAAGCGGAAACTCACCTTAACGTCGTGTAGCTTCGCAGCTCCACCGTCCAGCTGTGACATATCGAAACCAACACGCTGAAGTTGCTCAGCCAGTTTAACCATCTGAAAGGAAAGTATTCACAGAAGCACCAATTATATCTTATCTATCATGTCTTTTCTCAGTCTGTGAGGTTCAGTCCATTAGCCAAATGATGAGGAAATTTTAACTCTGTATGAAATTCTGTTTCCCTTCATGAATTAAAAGCTCTTATACTAATCCAAATGAACCTGTTGCACATCAGGAGCATTTGCAAGGCTATTCTGTTCGGAAGAGCCCTCTCCATGCGGTTCCGTATGGTCGTGGTCACAACTGCCACCATCCCCATGTGAGTGGCCATGACCATGACCACCATGCTTCTTCTTTCCCGACATGCTCTTCCTGCAACAAATCAAACAAATCAATAACGATAAAACAAATAGAGGATAACGCACCAAAGCAGAAGCAAGCGACTCTAAAGACAAGGGCAGAAAAAACACTACAGGAATCTATAACACTGCTATCAACGGGGAATGTCACGCTAACTTGTGAAGCACTTTAATCGATGCACCAAACCGCAGCCTTGTATTTTTGAGAAGCTTCTAGAGTTCAGACAAATAAAAAACCGAATCAGACACAATCGGATCATGGTACTCTACAATAATCTTATTTTCGAATTTTTATGCAAAATTTCACAGCATTGTGTATGATATCAATTGAATAAAATCTTCTACAAAAAAATAACAAGCATGAGATAGCAAGAGACAAAAGATATTTACAGCATCAACTTCACAGGAACAACCAATACAAAGGAACAGTGAGTAAAGGCACGTTTACGACATACTGCAGACATTTCGTTTAACTATCGTGATGATAAATGTGATAAAATTTGAATCATACCAAGTATTACAAATCTCTAATAGCACAGTTTCGCATTTTCTTTTGAGTACACCTACAAAAAGCTTCTTTTCCCCTCGCTTTCTTTCGAAAATACCCACGAAGGGCTTCACTTATATCCTTTCTGTTCTGCGATGTTTTTAAGAAATAGTTTGAATCGCGGAATTTCAAGGTGCTTCCAGTCATCAATAAACCATCTTGAGTTTTGCAGAGAAATACGGAACAGCATAGGACGATAGTAGAGGGGAGACAGCCTGAAAATGATGATCATAAGGATCACAAGCAGACTGGAACGACAGTACAAAAACGGAAGTTGGGCAAAAAAAACAATAATGACAAGAAAAGCGGTAAGAAATATCATAAAAATCATGATCATTTTTGACAACTACGATTCTACGAGATCACTTGATTCTCAAAAAACCATTTACATGCCTCTTAAAAAAACGATTTTACCAGTTGATTCTATCGGTTGATTCTAGAACTTGTTTGTCGTCTACTAGCTTTACATAAGATCCTTGGACGTATTTCTTTTTCATGCTGGTGATATTTTGGAAAAAATTATTCCACGGGATTCTTCCACTCAGGAATACTAGAATCAGGTATACTCACTTAGTTTGTAATAAGTCCTTGCGCAGTTTCACCATCCCACCAGCTGGTTTCCCGATCAGTCTCTCCGCAGCCTCGTCAGAAAAGTGAACTGCTATCACTCCACTGAAGTCAGCTATTTCTGCCTGTAAAAAGTGACAGTAACATTTTATTCGTTCGAAAATACGACCTGGCATGTGGCTCCGAGCCAGTTCGCCGTGCGCGCATCTCTACTCCGTCTCGCGCCTATAGAAGTAACTTAACGTTGAGAACTTAGGAATAAAAATACTATGATCTGGATTCCTCTCCCGCTGCAAAAGCTTAGTTCCGATTACAGGGAAGAACTTACACAAAACAATGCAGATCGTGCGCACGGTCAAATAAAAATATCTCTACAGCAAGTAGTAAAAATATCGAGCCTTTTGCTGTGCATCGGCAAATTCATTTTTCATCAGAACCCCACGACAAGCATATCATTGCTAACAGGTTGTACACTAAATAAATAATATATAGAAGCAAAATTGAATACGTTCAAATCAACAAAAAGAGAGCAATCGGCTGTTGTCAATTGATTTCCGTTTCTGAATGATTTATAAAAAATTCGAACAACAAATTACCATACATCGAGTCCCGAGTTTCGCACCAGTTGAGAACAATGAGTATTCATTGCTTTCCAAAGAAAATCAGCTTGATCAATCTTCACGCTTTCACGAGTTTGAACAACACTGACCCCAGGTACGTCAAAGCGTCATAACGAAATTTGCAAATCCTAGCCATGACAGTTGAAGCCTCGCTTGAGAATTCATTGAGACGCCCAATCACACGAAGTGCGGTACCATCAACTATAAACAAGCAGTTGAGAAATATGCACCACGAAACGAAGTAATCAAGTAATAGTGAAAAAGGCTACATGTAAAATCGTCCTCTGATGGTGTGACATCGAACAGACCGGTACGAAACAACCTATGAAGACATTCCGCCTCCGGGTCGTTAGGTTCCAGATCAACAAAAGCTGAGTCGTTCAGGAGAAGCGATATTGAGCCTACAAACTCATCAGATTGCAGGTAGACAGAAAAATTACAGCAATCTATCAGCTGCAGATGTTCAGCCCACGTAGAGCACCGTGGATTACATTTCGAACGGGTGCCTACAATCTTGCGCAAATCTCGATCCGAAAAGACTAGCAATGACACTTCAACTATACCTTCACTTCGTTTGATGACAGCTCCTTCGATAGAGATTACGGAACCTGTTGAGATATTTGCAGGAATGGAGCTTGATAGTAACTCCACATGTACCGATTCCCCGTATCGATCAGCCACCTATAAATAGATAAATAGAGGATAGAAGCGGAAGACAAAGCATTTGGTGCGAATCAGACCCTTCTGGGGCTTTGCAATCTACTTCGATATCGTGGTCGAATTTTGAACGCGATTCGCCCTCTACAGTGACAGATAAGCTGTGGGAGGTGTATACAAGTCGGGAGACGGTCAATTCAATCGTCGGCTAATGAGGTCACGCCGCTCACGCGGCGAGCATCGTCGCGCGCGGCAGTTGGTGCGGCGATTTCTGTGTGGACCTTTTCTTAACATCCATGTCCATAAGTTGCTGCTGGGGTTAGAGAACTGATAAGACCAGAGTTCCAGACATCAGTAAGCCAACAAGCGTCACCTTAAGATCTCCGCAGTTATTTAAGCCTCACTGTACAAAGCTTGTGCCATGTAAAGGTTGTCCTTTTGAACATAATTTGACTTCTTTATTAATCAACTGCCTGAATTGTTATCAGAGAGCGATAATCTGGCTCAATCGGAAAAAATATTACGTTCCAAGACGCAGTGGAACGGTGAGGAAGGCAATAACATCAGTATGACAGAATAAGTTTGTAAATAATGGCAAAGGACAAGGATCCTGTATTTTAAGGGGGCAGGTGATCATATACCGTGTTTCACGACTGGAACTTCATCTAATCCTACATTCCCCAATGCTAGAACCCTGAATTCTAGCCGACGTCGCATCGCGGGCTGCGGCGGCTGGCGCGGCGACCTAGCCTATCGCCACGATTGAATAGTCACGCACCCATACAAGTCAGTGTCTCTATCCCACCGGAGAAAGCTTGTACCAATTAAGTGACCCTGGAGAAATGGATGGTCTGGATGGCGTGTGTCCACAGATCTGATCCAGGGGCCATGAGCGTGAAAAGCAGCGCCACCTTATACTACACCATTTCCTTGTAAATACTAGAAGGCACGCTAAGTCTCAAAATTCCGTAAAGTCTAGCCTTAATTTCTCCTCCAGAGTTTATCTGATGCCCAGACAACAATACGACACATATTTCTAAAAGCAACATTATTTGGGAACATTTTGTTCCAAGTTGGTGCAGCACCTAATCCCAAGAGATTTCGGGTGTGGTTCGCCATAGAAAAAGCAAGTTTCCCACAAGTCGCAGCGCGAAACGTTTTTTGCGTGCGAGAACTTAGGTCCACCACTGATCAGGCGTGGACCTGGGACCCTGCAGCAAGAAGTTTCGCGTGCGAAAAGCGGAAAAGTCGCTTTCTGTCCTAGCGAACTACACCCCAGACTCTTACGGTAACATTGTAGGAAGAAGCAGTACCTTTAGTAGGATATCTATTTTTTAGTCTCACAGCCATTTGATGAGATCTGGCACGATTTGAACTCCAGTTTTGTCGCTAGTTCTGCACCACTTGACACCATCCTAGCGCAAAATCACCCTTGCGCTGAGCAGTTGTGCGAATTCATGATCGACATACTTCATCGCCCCTTTACGTAATTTTTCAAAGAAATTTTAAACTAAATCTAAGGCGGCGTCGTAATATGACACGCCATATTCGTATTCAGGGCACTGGATAAACCCCGCGGGCGAAGTTTCGGAGTTTTTCGTTAATTGTTGAGTGTGTCAAAATACCTTAACCGCTGGAACGTTGTTGGGATTTCGGCTGTGGGCTCCACTTCCTACGACGATCCCGAGGAAATCTGAATAATCGCATCAAGCAAAGACCAAGAGGAGGAACAAACTGAACCAAGACAAACCAACCAACAACATCTAGCGAACAGCTTCTTAAATCACGAATACAAGTGATACGCAAGGACTTTGGAGCCTGTACTTCAACCTTGAAAAAAGATATTTTCAGAAGAGTTACGTGAACCGCTACGTTTCCTTTCATGTGATTAGAGGAAGTGTTCACGCTATGTAGGCCCGCTGCACTATGGCATTTCAAAGCTTACCAAACCTCATCGTCGCATACGAATTAATGGATGATTTTGAGCTGCTTCGAATCAGGTGTAGGAAATGATATATTCCGAGTATACAACCTACTAGTACTTGGAGAAGATATTCACCTTTCCAGCGGCTAGAGCGCTTCTCTCGCTCGATAGTAAGGATGTGGGCGGTCTGGATGGCATTGGCGTAGAACCTAGAAGAGAGGGGATGAAACATACGTGAACGAAGAGTAATCAGGCAAAACCATACATCGTAAATATTGCACAACAAAAAAAGAAAAAATGAACATAAAAGAGGACTAAGTATCTACTTATGCCAACAAGGATTTTAGATAAAACTTTATTAAAGATCGATCGCTGGTGTCTTCCCCATAGGCCTGAACGCGAGCAATTTTCATCAAACGCCTCTTCTTCCTAGCATTTTTACGAAACGCGGAGAAATCATGCTCAAGCCTGGAACGAGGGGATAATTCACCCGGTCCACCACACCACTGTTAGAGCGGAACAGCATCAACCGTTGTTAATTGTAATTAGGAAATGATGTGAGGAACGACTTTCCAGAGTAAAAGAAAATGCTCAAACAAAGCTTAGGGGCCTTTGTGTGAATGTAAACTTTTTGTACTTCTCTTTTGCGGCGGGGCGGGGCGTTCCGCTTCCCACCCTTTTTGGGGCCTCTGGGGGGGGGGGGGGGGGGTCTCCTCTTGTGAATTAACTCAATAAATGTTGTTAGAATACCATTTATCGCTGAACATTCACCTCTACTGACTGAAGGCGACTCCACCACAGCTGACGGCGTGCGAAATGGTGGATTATGCCGATTTCTAGAGCTTCTACTTACGGGAGTGATGGAAGAGCTGTGCGTTGAACGAGTAGATCTGAAAATTTACTCAGCTTCCTCATTGCATTCCCTCCCTAAACTGTACGCCTGGGAAGCAGACCGACGTTTATTAAATGTGTAAACATAGAGAATAAAGGTTTATTAAATGCATGAATTCACAGTATATGCCACGTGAACATACATGAGTATTTGCAAAAATCCTAAGCAGCCCTACACATGAGAACAATTCATCTAGGCATGGAGATTTCTAGGATTGTTTCTAATGTTTGTTCAACCATTTATTTCTCATGTTATTGTCCATGACTCGAAAAAGAACCCGTGGCTCGCACAAATGCTTTAGCATTCAGCATCGAAGGTATCCCTATGGCATGAGCAAATTTCGTGATTGTGAAGCTATGCGTACGCGCTGTGAATAATTGTAGTCTTAGCCTGAGAGAGTTCATCTACATGAAATTTCAAGGAATCGACTATCCAACTTCCTCTTTAGTCAAGCTAATTAAGACGAAATTTGGCAGCCTGAATATTTTCAGTAACTAGACAAAACTAAATGGAGCACACAGAGATAAAAAGAACAGACCGTGGAGATTTTCGAAGGAGTGGCGACACGAATTCAGTCTGTTTGGTGGCTGGTTTTGTACTCCGAATACCAGATGGGGATACCCTGAAAGGCTTAAAATCTCGATGAAGTAGGACAGGAGGTGAATCTTACGTAACTTCATCGTTATATACACCCATCCCATCCATTTTCTACAGCTTGCCTGGTACCATAGTTGGCCAACGGTAAGGGGCTTGAAAAATATAGAAAAGGTTGGAAGATATGAAAACGCAACATAGCGGAACCACTCCCAAATATTGGAGGCGTCGGATACAGTGTTACGAAAGATACTTCATAAAAATGGAGAAAGGGAGGTTGTATTCTCAGAAATGTCAGTAATCAGTCACACCCTCGAACACACCTTTTATACCACACCTCATTAGAAGACATGAAAACAACTGCACGGAAAAGTACCTTGCAAAATCCGATGACAGCGACGGCACAGGAACACCGGCAGGGTCTCGGTTTTCAGTATCTGCTCCTACATTAGTGGTGCTGAAATCATCCACTTAGAGAACAAGTTGTATTCTTCGGCGAACAGTCACTGAGGTGTGGTTCACTGGGATAGAACGTGTCGCGTTTAGCAGCGCGAAACGTCTTTCGCTGCGAAACGCGGAAAAGTCGCTTTATGTCTTAGTGAACCACATCCAGTCACATGTACCAACCTTCCGGTGGGGTCTTCTAAGCAACCGTTCAGGCGACGTTTTGCCAGTTTTAACGCTGAATCCGACACCGTAATGAGCTTACTTGTTCCAGCAGTGACAAAACCCGCAAAACCAGTGGAGAATCCTTTCGCATCACTGTCTCTGAAATGATAGAATAACACTTACAACTGATACAACAAGCAGGTGCCAAATGCCGCAAATGTCGCATTGAAAGAGAAGCTGATGGATCATGGGTAATAATCATCGGCAATATTGGTGATAGTCCTCTCAGTGCTTCAAAGAAGTGTTTTCAGTGAACTTCAAGCCAAAGCCTGGAGGATTGAATTTTAGCTCCTGTCTCGCTTTTTATTCAACCGCAAGGTATACTGCAGTTTGCAGAGACTACACTACTTGAAATGTCCGGTTTTGAAATTTGGTAGAAAATTGACCGCATACTTAACGACAAGCTAGTATTCCGGAACTCCACGGCTGAATATGCATTATTTGTAACAGTTTGGTCCTTTCAGAATAGTCCATGTTCGACCGTCTTGCAATCTTGGCAGTTCGCAGTTTCTATTGAGGCGTTTAAGCGAGCAAGTTACACATGCTTTTGACCATTTCAGGCTCTGACGAAGGCGAAGAAGCCGAAACGTAAGCCTTATATAAAAAGTTCAATCTTGAAAGGCTTGAAGAATCATTTCTACTGAGTTTGGCCCTTTGCACTTGGAAGGAGTCCAGCTTCGCAAGTAACAGTTAAAAAACAATAGAATAGACCGAAAGAAAAATGAGGAACGATTACATCGAGGTAGCATCTTCCTGCGCATCACATTCAGAAGCATAAAGACGAGATCGAGCCGAATTCAGGGCGTCCTCACTGACTCTGATCTCTCGATTTGAGCCAGCAGTAAGAAATCCTGTGAATTTTGGGATTCCACCTGAAGATGAAAGTCCTTTGGAATTGGTCACGAACAGAAAGACATTTTGTAGCTTACCAGTGTTGGGTGAGGAATCTGTGGCAGATTCTGGGCAGAGCCTGCAATGGGAAACAGCTAAGCTATTCTACCGATTCACAATGATTAGAAACCTACGCTTTCATATATACCTTTTCGATGACGTAACTACACCGACATTTTCTATTGGTCGTTTCAGACCGCAGGGAGAACGGTGAATCGATGTGTTCCTGCAAAGAGAACTGATGTTAATCAAACTCAGCAGCACATTGTATTAAAAGCACAAAATCTCAAGTCAATTTTAAAACTTGCAGATTCAAACTGTCGTTGAACGAATCCTGGACGTCCTGTGAAGCGGTCATCTTGATAAGTCTTCAGAGCGATATCCAAGTTCGACACTTTGAAATGAAATGGAATGTGATTGTCCACGTACAAACGCTACCACATGCCCGACCCTAAACGTCTAGCGCGGATGGACATTTCGCTAACCCGAAGTGGTCACGTGTTTGGCAACCAATCAACAATATTCTACTCAAAGTGCTCGAGTTCGAAGTAATGAACAAATGAAAGGTGTGAAATGGACTGTAGGCACGAAATTTTGAAAACGCCGCCGGAACACTTTTCTCCGCCGCGACAACTCGTCCACGTTCGCTCGAGAGCGTAGTGGTCCTTGGCCTGGGGTGTACTTCACTGGAACAGAAAGCGACTGCTACACTTCGCAGCGCGAAACTTTTTTGCTTTGGGTTCCCCAGGTCCACCCTTGATTATTAAGCAGGGCGAAAATCGGTCGAGGATTCGTCGACCCCTTTAGTTCTAGTGGCATTGATATTCTTGAGGCCTCCACCATACTGTTCTGCTGGATCGAGATCGAAAACGATAGCCGTTGCTCTACAGCACGAAATATAGTAGGATATATTTTTAAAGAGCAGCTAGTCGGCGTTCTTCGCTTCCGTAGGGCGACGCAAGAAAGGTGAACGGCTAGGGGTGCCTGCTAGCACCCGTCAGCATGTTCGGGCATGCTGTCCCGTTCGCTCGGAGCGCTGGTAAGTTAGTGTCCCGCTATTCGAGGGCCACTATCGGCTGCAGGCAGTTGTTACCGCGTTACCGCTGTTACCGCTGGACGCGATGGACGACTACGAGCGTTGTTCGGGTTTCTACCCTCGCCTTAAAATGACCAGAAATTGTGCAATTGCAGAAATTGACGTGGCATTGGCACAAGTGACCAAATTCCGTTTAAGGGGGGTGTGCGTCATATGGCGCGATCCCATTGGCATTGGAGCGCAAGGCCGTAATTACCCATCCTGCAGTGGCCGGACAACTCGTCCGCGCAACACATTCTGTTCCGTTCCTCTAGCCTTGGCATCAGGACAGCGAAGCTATTCGCTCTTTTTTAGACCTTTGGGACTCAGCGAGATTTTCGAGACCCAAATTATCAGATCGATCAATTACTGAAGCCAAGTAGTTGAGTGATACGGACGAGTTGTCCTGGATACTGTGCGCTCCAACGCCAATTGGATCGCGCCATATGACCGCCTGCCGTTTAAGGGCAATGGTCAACCGGAAGGCTTGGTGATTCAGTGTTTTGTAGTGTTCTCTGGGACTCTCGCACATACACACTATTACAGCATCTCTGCTTTCTTTCCCTCCTTCGAAAGGCTTAGTCCCAGCAGTGTGCTTTTCTGTCTGGACTCGCACACGTTGGTTGACCGCTGCCCCGTAACCTCGAATTCACTGATACCGTAATACGTCACGTGTGCTCAAGACTGTTCTTGGAATTCGATTGCCGCCCTAATGCACGTGAATTTCTGCAGTTGCACAATTTCTGGTAATTTGAAGGCGAGGGTACACTTCCTCGGCAGGCAGGAAGTTCAGTTGTAGGACTTCGACAGAATTATCGCCAATAACAGTGAGTCCAAGGTGTGTATTGTCGTGTGTGAATATGGCAGCATGGGTACGCTTGGGGAAGGCTGGGGCCCGATAAGGGAACAATATCCATAAAGGATAAAGGATAAAGCATTTGCCGTTGATCAATCCCTTTTTGGGATGCGGCACGCATTCTACTTCCATTTGTACATTCGTAGTGGCGTTTGAATGCGATGTGGCCTATACAATGACTTGCGGGGCCAGCCGATGTACAAGTCAGTGTTTTTATCCTCCCAGACAAGTCTGGTACCAATTAACCGACCCCGGAGGGATGGAAGGCTTGGTTGGCCCGGGCGACTCACGACCCAGGATTTGCTCGCGTGGCGAGCGCGCCACTTGTCACTACACCACTTCCGCCCTATGGTCTTCATATGCTGCAATTATTCTAAGTTTCCGTTTGGCATGATGCCATACAACTCCCCCGTTCTGGGGTCAGCAACCCGTGAGCGGTCCGGGTTGCGAGGTAAATGCCATGTGGGAATTTGCATGTCCGGACCCGAAATCAAACGTGTGCCAGGGAAAGGCCACGAGGGCTCGCGAGCCATCTCGATGCGTTGGGTTAGAGGGCTAGAAGTGCTACCGCTCTTGAACCACGACACCCAGTGACTTCAGCCCAGAGTCAACCCTGCGTTGCGCAGTTCGCAACGGCACGTTGAGAGATCCTCAACGCACGCTGTATGGGCGGAGACGCAGACGGCTCGAGCATGCGAGTGTGAATGTTCGCGCGAGAGAACGTGTCTAATCGGGCGAAACTGCGCAACGTGGCCGTTGAAACTGCGCAACGCAGGGTTGACTCTGCTTCAGCCTATGTGACACCTTCCTCCAGCAGACGTTCAACAGTCGCATGCGGTTCCTCCTCCAGCGTAGAGCAACAATAATCTACTTTGAACTTATTTGTTTCTCTATAATTTCCTTAATTTCAGCACGTGTTAAAGGCAAAAGTCAGGCTCGTGTTTGGGCATTATGGCGCCTGAAATTGAGTGTAGAGATGGGAGGTGGAACGACAGTGAAGAAAAAACGCAAAGAAACCGTCGACAAGACCGAAATCGAACCCCTTCCCTTCTAGCAGTGAAGGAGGCTTGCTCGGGGGAGAGCCACGTCCAAACGAGTTTTCCGGATATGCCAGCCGTTCCATCGGTTGATACGGCAATCAACCTAGCTGATCTCACACGTTAGGCCGATGTCAGACTTTGCGAATCGCGCGATTCGCTAGCGTCCGCGGTCGCGTTGCGGTACCAGCCAATTGAGTGATTCACTGGCCGCGACGCGACCGCAGACGCTAGCGAATCGCGCGATTCGCAAAGTCTGACATCGGCCCTAGCCACGCCACCACCACATCCCGCGGTGGGCGGGACCAGCTGATGAAACGAACCCATCGCTGTAAGTAGTAGGCCAGAGGCCTTGACGGCGCGCAATCTCGAGTCAGGAGTGTGGCATCACCCCTCTGAGCGCATTCCTGGAAATATTAGTGATGGAAAGGCCTTCTATGGTCACCTAATCCTGACTCGTGGCTTTAACTTAAACACACAGAGCGATTTCATACTCGGTTGCCCGGTCGTAACGACCACCAGCATTAGATACGTATCGATCGTTCGATCGGATGGGATGATCCATACGCATCTAACGCTGTGCGATAGGTACATACGATCGGACTATGAGAGCGCCCATGCATACTTTACAAAAAGGCAATTCCTGAGGGCGATTCCGGTGGGGAAGACAAAAGAACTTTAGAGAATTTCCTCCTGCTCTCATTGGTGTGAGGAAAACACAGTCCAAATTCTGCCCTTCTCCGTGGGTTTTGCGATGTTATACGTAAAACCCGCTTTCGAGTCTCTGACTATGAGTTCGCTGGTACAATACACAAGAGCCCTCATTATGGGACCTTGCAAGCGGTTTCATGTACCTCAACGATGAAATATTAGTAAGGGAATATAATAAGGTACATAAGGTAAAAAAAATAAGTGTATTTTCTTGTAATTTCATCCTAACGTACGCTACAGGGAATGCCCCTTGCCAGCATGACATTCTTCAAAACTTCATCGCATACTTTTTCAAGAGCAGTTGCCAGCTACCCATTCACACTGCCTTGCTTCTTGCACTACTCAGTCAATTGCTAGATAGGAGAGAGGAGAAGAGCATACCCGAACAGGCGAAGAGCGTGCAGGTGGCCAGCTAAGGTCATCGAGTCTTCCAGAGAATCGCCCGCGAATTCCCGCCTTAAAGGCATGCCCCAGGATCGCACTGGTGTGGCTCTTGCACACGAATGTGAATGTATCGGTGCCAAGTGGGCCGGCAGTGAAGAAAAAAGGAAAAGAATCCGTCGAAAACGCTCAGGTTGAGGGCTCACTCACCTTCCTAATTGGCTGTGCTAAAGGAACGAGAGACTAAGCGCGAAGAGGAGAGTATGGGGCGAGAGAGCGCATCAGATGAGAGAGCACCAGACAACGGCCTGATAAGAGAGCTCGTTCGCTGCAGCTCGAGCAGCTTACTTTGCAAGCCCAAAGCGTTCTTGTCGGTCGAATTCCGTGCACGTGAACGCCACATTTGTGATTGTCCCCTAGGGTTCTATACTTCTGACCGAAGAGAAGAGTTACAAAACCTCTGCCTGGGTTGTGCCTTTAAGAAAAAAAGTAGAATCATCATTCCTTTTCTGTTTGGTGCCATTCAGTGGGCTACATTGTTTACGCTTTTATCGGGAACGTTCGTAGCGCCTTCGTGGCTTAGGTGTTGACTGTGCCTTTGTGGCTTCAGGAAGTTGCGCCTTTGGCCCTTATTCGTCATATACACGCCTGGTGGGCTGTTTGCGACCGCGGTAGAGCAGGGCAACGGCTTAGGGAAATTTTAGTCAATCATCGTTCGTTGCCCGCGCTTCGCTTTTCGTGATATATAGTCTTTCAATCTTCAGATTCGTCTCGTAAAAACCAAGTCAATTTCCTATTGTATCAATTCTGTTGCGTGTGCTTTTTAATAGATCGTTGTTCTTATTCGTCTATTTGGCGGAGAGTGGTGCATTCCAAAAGTACTCACGATCACGATTATTGCTTAAAGCGTTAGATCCGCATTAAATAATCCCTCAGTAATCCGTTTGAAGTTACAGAGGTTTGGGCTGGTACAATCTTTTGTAGCGGCCAACATGTGATGCACAGTAACAGATGTATACAGGGGGGGGGGGGGGGCAAAAAAAAGTCACTTTGCCCATGGCGCATATCATCAAACTTTTCTGTCGCAAAGGATGCCGCTGTTATTGGGAGTTATACGGCGAAATATTCCTTAGATGTCCCCCATAAGCAGAATCAGGCCCACCTTCGCTGCCTTCACCGTCTCCAGAATATGACGTCATCTGTCATCACCGTCGAGCTCAAGCTGGTGAATGGCTTCTTAGGACACTAGCTCTGACTATGCAACATGGCTTTTAACCAGAGTTTCAGAGACGTCGTAA